CGTCCTCCTCGATCTTCGCGTGAATCTCGAACACGGGCAATGCATTGTCTCTCTGACTCAAGACCGACGCGCGAAGCTCATTTGCGACCTCCTGGACGTGAAATCTGGTGCTTTGGTAACTTCAGAACTCGCCGGTAGGGTATCCTTCGCCTGTGACGCCTTCTTCGGCCGGGTCGGACCGAGGACCCACCCGTGTCCTCATCCGGAAGAGTCTTGGTATCCCAACGCCCACGAACCTCCTCGCTTCAGCGGTCGACTCTCTGCTACATCTATTCAGCATGGACGACCTGCCACCCCGCAATTTGACTGCCGAGACCGCACTGCATCACAGGCCACTTTGCTGCTACGCCGACGCCACGGGGTACGGTCGGATTGGCACATTCACCCCCGCGAACAATATGCATCCCGCGTACTTTGGCTTTTCCAAAATCAAGTTTCGCGAGCATACCGATCTTATCCACATCAACTTACTAGAACTTATCGCATCCGCCTCTGCGTTACACACCTTCTCCCAGTACCACTCTGGAGCTGTTATGATCTTCACTGATAATACCACGGTGCAATACTTGATCCACAAGGGCTCTAGCGCCTCCACCACCGTCAACGAAGCCATCTCCGATTTCTGGCTTCACACCGCGGCAGTAGGCCCTTCTCGTCTTTTTGCTCTCCGTGTTCCTTCGTATAGCAACCCAGCTGATGCCGTCTCTCGTCAACAGTTCTCAGCGCCATGGTTATGCGACGCCATTCGGTTACCGATAGCCTTCCCCCCGTGGGTCTCTAAATATGATACTCCGAAGGAGGCCACCTCTCTTGCCTGACAACTGCGCCCTCCATGATAGAGGCTCTATCACTTGTTACCCGCCATTGACCATCTTTTCTGAACAGTTTCATGAACACATCCACGTCTTGCGCTCCTACATCACACTCTAGTTACCCCTTGGCTTTCACCCTCGTACCTCTCAGGTTTACGTCCCTCCCTATGAATTTCCAGACGGATCTTCAACTACTACGTTATGCTCTTCTCGACTATCCCGAGTCTCTCTTCCGAGCAATCTCCGAGTCCGATGTCTCTTCTTGGTCTGACCTACTGAGCTCTACCCCTGCTACTTGGTCCTCAGGTAACTTCCTCAAGTGGCCGATCATCAGATTCTCAGCCGACTTCCGGGCGTTCCTTCTATGCAGCGACTTTCATATCTGGCATCCCCCCCCCCAACTCGCGATCGATGCCCACCTCGCAACTACAACTTGGCGTGGCTATAAAACCAAAATTCTTCGCTATCTTCGCTGGCACTGGCATCAGTATCACAGTAGTCCTGCCCTTCCTACATCCCCAGTCGCATTTCGACATTTCTCCACTTCAAACAAGGTCTCTCACGCAGATAATATCTGCGTGAGAGACCGTGTGGATCTTCTT